GAGCTTTGCCAAGCTTGTTCCAAGTAGGTGCTTTAGACCACTGAGCCATCTCACCAGCCCCTCATTTATTTTAAATATGTTAATCAGATTTTCTTAAATCAACAATATGTTTTACATAATGTTTCAAACTTGACCCCAATTAAGAAGGTATACAGCTGGCTGTGGTAGTGCACACCTGTCATCTCAGCCCCTGGGAGGCTGAGGCAGGGGGATTGCTGTGAGCTTGGGGCCAGCCTGGGCTTTGTGAGCAAGTTCAAGGCCAGCCTGCACTACATAGCAAGACTGTTTCAAAGCAAACAGAAGAAACCTACTTGTCTCCATGGTCATTTTGACTTGTGGAAGAGCCAGAGTTGTGCGGTGCCGGAGCTGCTGAATAGGCAAGTGAGGGCTCGCTCACCTTGTGTTTCCTGCTTTGGCCTTTCCAGTGGATGGCACTTGATAGCAGTAGTCAGTGTGCTTTTTATCACACCCCACATTCTTTCAGACAGTGTCTTCACTTTGGGTTTTCTCATACTAGGATAGCTCATATAGTAAGTTATTATGAGTTTATTGAGTCAGATTTATAGGAGAAAAAAAAATGTGTACAAGTTGTATCAGGCGGTGACACCCGCCGCGGTGCAGCGGGTTGGTCTCCACTTTCGGTGAGACACTTCAAGGATGGAGACCCTGAGCTCCGTGAGAGAGCGGGGGCAGAGTCTGAGTCTGAGTTAGAGCCAAGGCTGGTGGAGGCACTGAAGGAGGAACCTGAGGTTGACCAGAAATTGAAGCTCAGAGAGACGGACAGAGGCCCCAAAGGAAGGGTTTTGTATAACCATTGAAGTTCCTTTGAGCTGTGTCCCAGATGAATGGACCTGATTGATAGCCATCAACACACCAGGTGCCCTGATTTTAGAAAACAACCACCAAACCAAAAAACCCCAGTTTGTCCTCTTGTAAAATATCTGCCCCAAGTAAATCAATGCAGATCCTCATGAAGTAGTTTCAAAAAAACAATTGCGTACAGTTCCGATATCCTTTTTTGCAGCTGTGGTCCTATGGAGAACACCTGTTCATGCTTCATGGAAAGTGCCTGACTGTGATTCCCTGCAAGTGTGGCGTGTCGTCACTAGCCGGGGCTCTGGGGAAACTGCAGCGCGCACGGGACCCAGGTAGAGACCTGCTTAGCATGAGCCGTTTGATTAGTGCCAGCTTCCCAGGTAGCATCCACCGCCTTCCGTTCACATTTCAGTTCTTTTTTTTTTTTTTGCGTAACCGGGGATTGAACTCGGGCCCTTGCACTTGCCAGGGAAACACGTATTCTGCTGAACCATCTCCCCGGCCCCACATTTCAGTTCTTAAGTTTGGAATTTGCTGCTCTCGACAGAAATTTTTTCATCCAGATAGCTACACGGGGGACAGGCCCCTTGCCAGGGCTGCTGCCCCTGAAGAGCCACAGTTTTGAATTCCAGTGTTCTTCTCACCTTTGGAGCAGCAGGAGAGTCCTCAGGACAGATGCCTGTATGGCCCTAGTTACTGTCAGGCCCCTGTCCTGCCCTAATGTTGAAGGCCTGCTATAGGTACCTGACTAAATATGGTTCACTGATTAGAGGTTGCTTGTACAGTTACCACATAACTTGCTCTGGCCTTGAATTCACACGTGGTGATCCTCCTGCTTCGGCTTCCTTTCTAGATTATAGGTGAGCGCTGTCACACCCAGTGAAGCTGTTAGTGGAATTAGAGGGATTTTAAAAACACTGCTCTTGGGCTGGTGAGATGGCTCAGTGGTCTAAAGCACCTACTTAGAACAAGCCTAGCAAAGCACAGGGACCGCGGTTCAATCCCCCAGCACCAC